GCCTTGAGATACCCAGGACAAACCATCCCCAGGCCTCCCAGCTCTGGTTCCTCCTCGGAATGCGCATTGGTGGGATTGAGGAGCTCCTCAAAGTATTCCTTCCACCGTCCGACTATAGCCTCAGTTGACGTCAGCAGCTCCCCATCCCCACTGTAAACAGTGTGAGCGAGTTGCTGCCTTCCTCTCCTGAGGCGCCGGACAGTTTGCCAGAACCTCTTTGGAGCCGATCGATAGTCTTTCTCCATGGCCTCACCAAACTCCTCCCACGCCCGAGATTTTGCCTCGGCAACTGCCACTGCTGCACCCCGCTTGGCTATCCGGTACCTGTCTGCTGCCTCCGGAGACCCACAGACCAGCCACGCCCTGTAGGCCTCCTTCTTCAGCCTGACGGCTCCCCGAACCTCTGGTGTCCACCAGCGGGTACGGGGGTTGCCACCACGACTGGCACCGGCCACCTTACGACCACAGCTAGCAACAGCCGCCTCGACAATCGCAGAGTGGAACAAGGCCCACTCGGACTCAATGTCCCCCACTGCTCTCGGGACGTGGTCAAAGCTCTGCCGGAGGTGGGAGTTGAAGACCGTCTTGACAGGTTCTTCTGCCAGGCGTTCCCAGCAGACCCTCACTATGCGTTTGGGTCTGCCAGGTCTACGCACATTTATGGTTATACGTTACAAAGCCGCCAATATTTTTCAACAACTGGGCATCTTACTTTTTTCTGGAATAACAAGAAAATAGCCAACTCAAAACATAACAACACAATTTTGTGCTAAGCACATAAACATAACATAACATAACAATTTTAACGGTTGAATTTAATGGTGGTTAAGGAATTTGATGAATGGTTTCAACAGTTGATGCTTGATATTCAGGTGTAGTTTTTATTGTTAATTTTTGGAAATATCCATCAAAATGTTGTTGAAAATGAATGAAATGATGCCCAGTTGTTGAAAAAATATTGGTGGCTTTTTAACATATAACCATAAAAATCTGGTCTAAAATACATGGGAGCAGGTCTAAAGCCTGATTCATGCATCTCTGTCAGCCCCAAAAGGGAGAGACACACACGCTCGGACGGAGATGTTTTGCCCTCATACTTCTCCGTCTCCTGGGGAGTGTTGCAAAGCAATTCCCCGGCAGGACAACAGACGGCGTAGCGCTGTTCTGTGGTATTCTGTCATCTATCTGGTCCAAGATAGTGTGTTTATATTGTGTTTTTTGTATATAAGACTTTTTAACACTGACAAATTTGTCTCTCATCATGCTCCACCTCTTCATGCGCTTGCCACCTCTAAACCCACATTTCCTGTCATTTCCGTCCACAAATAAAACGCTTGCTGTGCATATTTTCACTCCTCCAGTCATGGGGTATTAAACGTTCATGTTTTTAGAGTTTTTTCGCGAGGTATTCTTCAAGCTTCTCCATGTCTGCCGCTAGTTATTCTCGGCTCTATTTAAGTTTTTGAGGGTGCATTGGCAGCGGTGTGGACGACAGCGGTGCCCTGACCAATCACAAGCTTGCGTTCTCCGTCTCGACAGACGGATGTTGAGAAAAGAGAGCTTAACTCCGTCCGTCCTTGCAGAGCTCTCCAGCAGGCCCGCAAGGATGGATAATGGCATTGCATGTCTCCACACTGACGCAGACGCAGAAGCATGAATCAGGCTTAAGTCTCTGTGCGACACCATATTAGATGCCATGTTTCCTTCTACGGAAGCCCTTGAGGACAAAACACATTTACTGATTTGTAACACATGGTTACAAAACTTTCACCAATAATAAACATTGTTTTACACATTTACCTCTTCACTTATTGCCAGTGATGAAAGGGAGTCTGATGTGCATTTTATGTTGCTGAAGTTTGCACTTCCTGGGCCTGTTTGACCCTAATGGGCATCTGTTGGTAAGGTCTTACTCCAACACAAAAATACAGCTTGCTTTCAATGATTCAGATATCTACTGCCCCCTATAACCAGGAAAAATACACACCGTCTCTTTAATTGAATGGACTCCAAAAGTTGTTCAGTTAAATAGGCAAAAACAGTATAACCTGCCTCTGCTTTCATTTTTTGGTGGCATGGTGACAATTTAAAAAAATGGGAACACATAAAACTGGTTAAGATGTTGCCCCGGAAGATGGGAAGCATACTGGGTTAACAAATCGAGAGGATATTTGGTGCAAAGATGAATCATGTTGAGATGTTCATGCATCTCTCTCGCTCTCTGAGTGAGCATTGCTTTCCCCTTGGAATCATTCTTGCGTAAGCTGAGACGTGACACGTCACTCCTCAAACAAGAAACCGTTTTTACAAGCCACATTAAACAACAAGCTCCAAAAAATAGTATATTGGCCGTGGCCAACGCTTGGGCAAAGAGCTTCTCGGAACTTGGTTTTTACAGGCTGTTTGGATATTCCCCCAACAAATCCAGTTCTATTCTTAGTGGGTGCCCACTCCCCCCTTGTTGCAATGGTTTTGTGGTTGAAGCTCGACAGAAATTAACCAGAAGCATGTTCTGGAACACATACAGAAAAAGTGAATGAACCACACATTGTTCGTTGTTACTATTTGCACAGTCATGATTTTTCCTAAAATCTGGACACCGACGTAATGGTTTCAGTCATGTCTCCCCCTTTGGGTGGTGTCAAGCCTGCTCAAAGTAACAAGGACTCAACGTTTATTGGGTGACCAGATTGTTGGGTAGTGGTGCACCGGGTACTTTTATGTTAGTGAACCACCACCTGCTCCGCAATGGGTCTCACTGCATATTTCAGTTGATTATTTCTTTGTTTTTCTAAATCACCAAATATGGACAGGGAGATGCAGGAACAAATTATTAAATTTTATCAGAATTTACACAGTATGCTTACTGCTCCCAATCAAATACAGACAAACCTATTTTCTTGTTATTCCAGAAAAAAGTAAGATATCATGCTTGAGCACCTTAATAAGAGCAGCTCTGGAAACCTGCTATGCACAGTGACATGTGTGCAGAGCATCAGCTTTCTTTGGGCCACGACCAACACTTTCACAAAGATGCAGAAACCAGCGGATGCTGCAGACTCACTGGGTAAAATCAGTTTCTCCCTCCACACATGAAGAACAAAAGAGTAAGGTGTCTGTCTGTGGATATGGAGAAGAAATCTTGTTTCATATTTAAATAAAGTATCTCAAATAACATTACATTGAAAGGAGTTACATTTTTGCATAACTAAAACATAAAGAACACCACCAGCAGCATAATGTACCATTTCTGATTCATCAAGGGGTCGAGCCGTGTAGGATTTTCTTAGTTTCCTAAAAATGGAAACAATGACTGTGATGAAATTTAGAGGACAAGAGCTGTTTTGGGTTGTCAGAAAACCACTTTAGAGTTGGACCTGTTTGAAACTGAGCGGTCAAAAGCAGCTTGTCAGAACAAGACACAACCAAAAGTGGATTGTTGTCATCTTAGAACAGCAGGAAGAAATTGCAGGTAACTTTTTACTTTAACACAGCAACACTAAATACCTAAAATCTGCATTTATAGTTTCTACGAAATGTCCATCCAGTCCTTGAATTTAGGCAAAAACATTTTAAAAAGGCTTTTTTAGTACACTGTCACCAAAAGAGAAGGCAGAGGAGAAGAAGCGAGTCACATGGGGACGTGACGGTGGATGTAATCACATGAAACACTTGTTATTCCCCAGACTGCATAGAAGAGGCCTACGCATCTTGGGACTAACCTTGCAATTCTCCTCTCCACGCCGAGCCCTGTCCCTGGGCTTTTAGAGCAGACGGGGCTGACGTAAATGTGCTCCCTGCTGCGTTATCACTACACTGCAGCCCAGCACCCCAGAGGCTACAGGCGCGATTAATGTTGTCTCTAAACCAACAAGAAAAACATAAAACCAGTGAAAAATTTGATAGTATACACTATTTCACTACTTAGCTTGTTCTGTCACTCAGGACAGTTGTGTACAAAATCAAACTGTTTAGACAGGCGTCTTAGTCATTCTGACAGCTGGCCTTTAGTAAATGTCACTTGGAGCAACTTCAGCCAAAAGCTTTCAATGGTTGGCATCAAACACACCATTCCCATTAATAACAATTAGCAGGAATAGAAACAGTTCGTCCATTGTGACCCTAAAGACTTTCTTATGCTTCGGGGTATCTTAACACTGGTCTATTAGCTTAGCACTGGCACAGTGTGTGTATACGTACTTATATAATAACTCGGCACAGGGTTCACTGATTTTTTTCTCCAGCGATGGGACGTTTTTAGACTGATATTTTGATAGTTCAACCACCAGAAAACCTTTAACGCTAACTTAGAGAAGGCATGTGATACCCCTCAGTTAGACCTGTCCAGGAAGTAGAGGAGACAATCTGTACTAGATGAAGAATTCAAAAAGGAAAGGCAGGATGATCGAGTGGGGTCACGGCACTCTCCTGCATTAGCTGAGGTTTCAAGCTCCTGAAACCACAGGCTCAGCTCCACAGCCTCTTAAGCAGCTCAGGCAGTCTAATCAAAATCAAATCATCTGTTTTTTTTCTCTCTCCTTCTATCTTTTGGTCCTGAGAGAATCAATTACTTCTAGAGTGTGGAGGAAACCTGGGGGTCCTGAGCTCCGTGAGCAGCAGCAGCAGCAGCAGCAGCCCAAAGCTTTAAAGTACTTTTATTGGATATCAGAATTGGAGGAGAGTCCAACTAAAATAGGTCTTGCTCATTATTAGAGCCAGCTGTAGCTTTCCACACTGATGACTCATCCATTTTTCTTTCCCTTGGTTCTTTGGCTTTTTTTTCATAGTGTGGTAAAATGGGTGGGTGTGAGGACTTCTCCTTTAGAGAATGCTTCCAAGTTGATACTGAGCCTATATCCACTGGTTATTGTTTGTTTAGATTAAGAAGGTTACCGCAGCAATGAGTGTATCTGCTCAACTCTTTACTTATGCACTCATAGCGCCACGTGGCTTCCTCTCACGTTTTAATGTCTCTCTTTCTTTCTGCTCCCCCTCCCCAGTGCCGATGATAAAAACCGAACCTAATGACGAGTATGATTCTCTGGGAACCGTTGGGCTGTCCATGCATTCAAAGACCTTCTACAGCAAGCCCAGGCTCACTTCCATCTTGCCCGTTGACGATCCTGACACCTGCCTAGTTGGTGGCTACGCTCCTTGCCCCCCTCGACATGCCACCATGCCTCCATCCTCTCCAAGCTCAAGCCCTAGTTTGCACGATCTGTCCCCTGTAACATACAGCAAGTGCCTCCCCAACAGCCCCATCCAAGAGGCCCCACCAGGCACTGTTGTGGCTCCCATTCAGGAGACCCATTGCTGCCCCAGTCTTGCTCACCCAACGTCACCCGACAACACTTCCCTAGGGATGCTCCACTCCCAGGGTAGCCCCAACCACCTCAGCAGTCCTGGACCCCAAAGTTACCACCAATCTATATATGCCAACAGCAGCTCTTCATCCTCCCCAGTCTCTCACCCCTCCACTCCCGTTGGAACAGCAGAGAGTCCATTTCAAGCCTACAGTCCCAGTCAGGCCCAGGCAGCTGGCAGCTCAGCCCAAGCTGTAGGCAGCCCACCCAGTCTGCTACCTGAAGATGCCAGTCCCCCGTCAACAGCCATCACTGTCAAGCAAGAGCCCCAAGAACTGGACCAGATGTACCTAGATGATGGTGAGTAACCATGCTGTTGAACATTGAAAAAGTCATTGTGACAATGATTTCGATAAAAGGGTGAATTTAGTATTGCTAAAATAAATGGTATGTTGATGTGCCTAATAATCAAAGACTGAGAGGGCTGTTTATGGAGCGTGTTACATTTATTTAACACCTTCAGCTTATCTGAAAGCCCTGACACAAAGCCACACCCTGCTGCACCTTTCAGTATTTCCTGATGGCAGCTGATTTGCGTCACATTTGTTTAATTTTAGACCCTGCAGATGTATTTGCTTTTGATTTAACTTTCGGACCAGCTTATGTTGGGCCAAGCAGCTGCTTTACTTTAAAACTCTGGACTGCCTTGATGGGATTTTGAAACAATCTGTCAAAACATCAGAGCACCAAGGTCGGCCGGGGTGCAGCAGAACAAAAACAGTGGCACACGCATAGCGAGCCAAACTGTTGACATGACGACTAATGAAGGAAGCAAAACAATGGGTAGGGGTTTCCTGGACTTAACCATTTTCCCCCTATATTTCTGGGTGGGATGCAGAGAGGCAGGAGGCAGAAGCTTTGTTTTCCCATCTGTTCCCCACGGAGTCAACACTGTGTGGCTGTCGTCATCAGGAGAGACTGTGGGGTCACTGGTCTCCCTCTAGCAATGAAACCAGTCACGCCCAAGGGACCATATGGTTATAGCCCAATGTGTCCATTTCACATGAGGTCTCTTAGGTCAGCAACCTGTTATCTGTGTTAGCAGAGGCTCTACATGTTATGATATATATTCACGGAATGCATCACTGGCTTTCTGCCAGTTTGAAAATGGTAAAAATCCATCCCAGCAGGGGTGAAGTGAAGACACCTCCACATTAAACTCAGGAGTATTACTCTTCCTGTGCACCTTTTTGTTAAGTGAGCTGATGCAGTGTGAAAGGGTGAGTGGATATATATGTTTGCTTGTGCAGTTTATTCGCCCTTCACTCAACAGCTCAGGGACCGTAGGGGTGATGGGCATGAGGGGACCAGGGGAGTTTTGCTATGGTAGTGTAATTGAGATGAAATCCAGTTGTCAGCATTTCTGTCAGTCTTGATGAGTCCCATTGGTCCTCACCTCATCAGCAGACTACACAGACAGGTCTGTTATCAGCTTTAGAAACTCACAGTAGCGTGTTTCCTAAATTTTGCAGTAGCACCTTTTCTAGAATGTGAGGAAATGGACTGCTAGGCAGTACTGCCCAGTTTGAAATATGTCTCATGACTAAACCAACGACAAATTTAAGCTTTAGGTACAAAATGTATAGTACATTTTTTTACATGCACATTTTGAACTTTGCCAAAAAACAAAATCACACAAGCTCTCTTCGTCACTTTAGCATTCTCAATCTTCCTCAAGCCTGGAGGCCAAATGTATTCAGCCAGTGATTACAGTTGCATTAGGAACGCTCAGGAATGTGTATTGATTGAAAGAGGACAGCAAGGCAGCTCCTTCAAAACCTCATCATGCTGCCGCTTTGCATCACCTAACGTCTGCACGAGCATCTGTGGTGAGCTGCTGGAGTCCCGGTAAGTGTGTGGTGGTAACAGCATACTGCTAAGGCATCTGCTGCTCCCGGGCCTGGACCTACACCTAACCCCTTAAATGAGCTTTCAGCTAAAATAAATAAGATCGGAAGGCAGCTCACGAGGCGCCCCCGCTCCTCCGTTCACACACATTACTGCCCTGCTCCATTAGAGAAGCAAGACAAGAGGATGACCTCACCACAGTAGCGGTGATTTAACGCCAGCCGTGTGGAATAGCTCCCCTCCTCAGCAATCGGGGGTTTGGAGTCTGTGGGAGCACACTTGATCTTCCCCATGAGTGCTTTGCCTCCCACGCTCAAACACAGAGGCCTCCGGCTCTCATAAGCCAGAGGAAATGTGTCTCACAGGCCCAGCCCAGATTTTACTCAGCCCATGAGAAACCCCTCAACATATCAATGGTGAGCTACTGTACCACAAGGAACTGGGTTACTATGCAGGGAGGTGTAAAACCCCCAGACTGCCATTCACTTTCTCCATCATAAACTGTTAAACTATTCCCCTTAATGCAGATGATAACATGGGAAGAATTAGTACCAGCAATAGACTTTAAACTTGGCATTCAGTTTAACGTTAGCCTCCTGCGTGACCAATGATGTTATCTGATGGATCTTAATACGATTCTTACCTATCAAAGCTGGAATGACACCCACGATCAGTGTGACTCAGAAAATGATGGGGAGAAGGATGGAAGCCGTCTCTGCCAGGGCAGTAGTTGCCATATTGAATCACTGTCATAAACATCTCGTGGTTGGGCTCACATAAACCCAAAGTTTTCAGACTTCGCATAATTACTCCGAGCAAAAGCCGTGCTTTACAAGACACATGACCTAAAGACACAGCAGGCAAATGACATCAGACTTAATCAGTGTGCATTCATGTTTTCCTTGAGAACTCTGCTACTTAAGTCTAAAAATAGGAGACGCTACATTTTGTCAAGAAGTGGGTCTGATGTCAGCATAACTGACACCCATAGTCATCTACATTCATAGGCACATAAAATCACACAGTTCTGGAAAAGGCAGCCCACATCACACTTGGTAAAATAATTTTCTTGGTTTTTGTTGGTGGTACTTATTTCAGTGTGTGTGTGTGTGTGTGTGTGTGTGTGTGTGTGTGTGTGTGTGTGTGTGTGTGTGTGTGTGTTTAGAGCAGAAGCTGTGCTGGCCGTTTGAGGCCGATGCTCTGTGTCCTGTCTCATTAGCTGGCTGTTGTGATGGGTGATATCACGAAGTGCAGTTAAACACCGCAGACAGCAAAGGAACTTGTGCTAATCAGTGAGCTAGATTTCTACCAGCTGCCTCTTTGAGAAACAGAGGGCCCTTATTCTCAAAAACAAGAAAAACACAGAGCACACTAAAGCCCCTCCTGATTTCTGACATTGCCATCTGGGCTCTGATTGCGTTGCGTTACAGCGTAGATTTCCCTGTGATTGTTTCCTGTCCAATTCAAGCCTGTGCACTTGAAGCCCTTCTAGGGTTTTTTTTTCTTCCTCAAACTGGAAACAGAATTGTCAATGGCCCTTTTCTGCTTCCTTCCACTCAGCAAAAACAAACAAACAACAAAAAAAGTCTTTCCAACTTTCTTGAAGATATCCGTTTACTTCCGATGCTTCTGAAGGCAATTCGAGGCATTCCTCATGGAAACTTTTACACATCCTGGCATGTTGCCCAGACCCCAGGACTCCACAAAAACCCCTAATGATGATTGAGAGCGCACCCGCACCGTGCTGAAAAACATGCTGAGTCGCTAACATTGCAGTGTGCCGCGAGGCTAGATTGAAGGGGGGCTGTGAAGTTGAGGATTTTTGGGGCAAAGGGTGTTCATTAGGGGAGCTTTAAGTGTTCTGATGGGACTTGGCAAGACACAGCTGCCCTGTGTGTGTGTGTGTGTGTGTGTGTGTGTGTGTGTGTGTGTGTGTGTGTGTGTGTGTGTGTGTGTGTGTGTGTGTGTGTCCCATAGATAGAAGAATCACATGAGCAGGCCCTGTAAGTGACAGGGTGTGCTTTCACAACACTCAACCTCTGAACCTCTCTAGCCTTTAGGGAGCAGGTCAAGGTCCAGCTAATAGTGCAGAGAAAGCGAGGCTGTCTTGTGGCTAAGTGCAGTGCCTAGAACATAGTCTCCTTCCACATGTAGAGATATTGACAGGTACAAGAAAACCGTGATGGCTTTTTTATTATTTATGATCACAGACAGGATGTGGATATTTTACTGTTGTTGTTATTGCTGCCTTCTCATATTAGGGATCTTCTTTCCTGGCAGTGTGTCTCATGGTTGAGGTATAAGTAAAAGTTTGAGCTTCTTGAAGAAGTTTTATAGCCATGGGAAAAATTAATTGGTAGGTGCACTCTTGCATTGGCCTTTGAGAGTCTTTGAGCACCAACGTTATGGATCAACAACAATACTTTAGGGATCGGCAATAGATTTGATTCCATTTCCTCTCACTACTATTAAAAACCATTACTTCTACTGTGTGAATTGAGCAGCTTTGACTCTTATAGCCTATTCAATACATGTAGACTTTGCTAAAATGTTAAGGAGTGTGCTCTGTAGTGACTAAGTAGAGCAGCACAGATTTTGCTTATGAAACAAATTTCAGTGTTTTCTTGGTAGCTTAAACTGATTATTTTGGAAAAATTATAGAATATAAACCAGATCAGAAAATCCCTTTGTAGTTTCTTACTTAGGAAAATTTAATATATCAATATTAATGAAGAGTCACACTATCAAGTAAGATTCAAGAGCTAAGAACATTTTTATGGTGTCCAGGAGTGACAAGACCAAGCGGCCATTTTCTGCCTGAAAACTTAAAGCCAACACGGAGGTAACAAAATTGCAGTTCTCCCATCCAATAGGAGCTGGCTCCAAAACATCAAGTTCTTACCGACTCCGAAGTTAAAAATGGCCCACTTCACAGCAGGAATAAACGTGTTTACAGCCTGGTACAAAACACCATTTTAGGTTTATTTGGTCTAGTTCAAAGTCATGACCACTCTGAGTGGCGTGTATGTTTTGTAACTATTCCTTTTGTTGTAATTAAATGCTTGAAATTATAAAGGTTTTGATTTTGATTGACAGTTAGCATGAGCCGTCAGAGCTAGTGCTAGCGGATAAGGCTTCTGCCTCTGCCTTGTGTTAAAAGGGTCGCCCATTACGATTCTCTGAACTTGACCATTAGCTGTGTCTCCTGTGTACTTGTGTTCAGATATTAATTGTGTAGTTATTGTACAAAGATGGCCAGCTGTGGTATTGACTGCTCCAACAGACCATCCAATAAGTCTCTCTGCTCCATTTTTATCAGTAAGTAAAATTATATTTCTGTACTTTATTCGCTGGTTGAATAGGGTAAAATGCTATGTATTTAGCATGACGCTGAAACACTGCAGCTCAGTGAGCTGCTGCATGCTTCACTTTACGGTCGCTCAGCTGTGTTT